CAGATTCCTTAGGAAAATGTGCTTTACTCTCCTGTTTGTCAGTAATGAAGCTTGGTGGTTTGGGATTTTAAGAGTGAGTCAGAAACCAGCTTTGTACAAAATGCCCTGTTCTTGTTTGTTCTTGACCTTAGGAAGATCAAGGAAATGAGCATCTAAAAGAACATCATTGGGCCGGGTCACACAGCTCAGTCTTTTGATGATGTGGGAGCTGGCTTGGGTCTGATCTCCAGATCAATCAATAGCCAGCAGCTGCAAAGCAAAAATACAATTATGTAAGGAAGTGAGTCTCTCTGATGAGGTTAAAGTTTTCTTGACATAAAGCCAAGCTTCTCTCAAAGCCAAGAAAACTTCTACTAACCAGTGAGATGTTTCCTATCAGAGTCATTGCATAGATATTTCAGCAATGTTTCAAGTAAGTCACAAGCAGGAGAGGAGCTGTTTTCTAGGCTTACATATATATTGCTGCTTTGTGTTACATGAACAATGCAGGCATGGGAGGCAGTAGGTAACAAAATAGACCCATGAACAAAGAAAAAGGCTGGAGGTGATGTTATTGTTTAGTCTGCTACTGCTTATGTACTCTGCAGGTGAAAAATCTATTCAAATACCTGAAAGTTCCTTGGTTTTCACTTGAACTAGTGTGAACAGATAAGCAAGGCCAGAGTGCACAGCTCAGTCTTTTCTCCCTTTTTCCTTCCTCATGCTTACATATGCAGGTAGTGAAATTCCTCTGAGGGAAAAAAAAAAAACCACAGCAGACCTTCAGCCCACAGGAAGGTGTATATTTTTGTGATGTTGGTGAAACCTTTTTGTTTGCCACTCGCTGTGAAATATTTTCCTTGCAGGCTAAAATTAGAATCTATGGGGTGCATATGCAGCTTTTGCAAGCTTCTGCTAATGCATGTAGGTGTGAAAGCTGCACTGATGTGGTTTGCTTATTTGTTAATATTTGACATTTAGGATGGAAAGTAAAGGTCTTGAACTGTGTAATTTCTCTGGAGCAATCACTTGTGCTTGCCACATACTTAAGGGTAATTTCAGAGAGAAAGCTAGAGGCATTACATTTGGGTGTAACATAGATCTTGGTCTTATACACAGGCAGCAGGATTCTGAGGTTTGTATGTGCTAGCCTTCAGTAGTAGCACTCATCAGATGTCAGTATCTCTGCTGTGATTACACTGCTTGTCAGCGAGCACTGAATTCTGAGTATATGAATAATGTCAGGTGGGTCTGTCTTAACGTTCCTGGCTTATAGTGGGATCAGACTTTGGCAGTGCTCAGGTGAGTTGAATGCACCTCTAAGCTATCTTTCGGCTTCCTCTGGCAGGGCAGTCAGGTGCTGAGTCAGCTCTTGGAAGGAATGAAAATAGCCACAGGGCTGCTAGTTTACCCTGTCAAAGGTAGCCCTGGTTGGAGCCAGGATCACCAGAGCAAAGCGTATGCAGCCTTGTGTGCGGGCCCTGACACATCTGCTCAAGTCAGCTCACCTGCTTCCCTTACTTAGCTGTAAGGCTGCTGTCTGTCACAGTAAAAATCAAAGCATGAGGTAAGCTGAGGATTTAACTTATGTGATTGACTCAACAAGAAAAAGCTTCTATGTATCATTTTTTAATTTCTCACCCACTGATTCTGAATGTCTTGAAAGCATGGGTGCATTCTGATTCCTCTGGCGTAAGGCAAGCTTTATAGGTTTTCATCCTTTCCTACCTTCTGTCCCACATTTCCATTCCTGCCCAGTGCTGTTAGTTCAGCTGATAGTAGGACAGCCTCTCAGCACTCATTTATGGTTGTAACCTGGCTAATACAATGGCTCTGTTGCCCATTGTTTCCAAATAACTGAGCTTATGTAAGTGGGGAGGTAGTGACCTGTGTTGGAAGGGCAGCAACAAGCTGGTTAGTGGGCATGGTGGAGATGGGTTGATGGTTGGACTAGATGATCTCAGTGGTCTTTTACAACCTTAATGGTTCTATGATTCTATGATTTAAGCATAATCAGGAGAAGGAAAACCTGAAACTTTCTCTATCAAAAAGGAGAAGCATAAGATAAATCATCATCATCAAATGAAATACTTTGCATTCCTCAGATGCCTGAAGACAAACTGTAAGGCAAGTCACACGCCTGTTTATAAGCACTATATAATTAGAGGCATCTTCCAAACTACTGAAGACAGCTATTTTTTAATTATATTATTTTGTCACAAACATTGCGGAGTTCTTTCCTGTTAATAACGTCTTGCTGTGTGGCATATGGAACCAAGCTAAATCAGAGTACACCTTTGCCTTGCAGAGCCTTCAGCCCTTTCCTGGTGAGCAGCTAAGGGCTGGAGCTTGCATATCCCACACCCTGCCTGCACGGGGCTAGTTCGATCCCTGAGTGCGTTCTTCTGCAGAACAAGGCAGTTCTTATCCTGGAGCATTTCTGCTCATGAACGGGTTGTTCTGCATGGCTTGCCAGGTGCCCCTGTGGTCAAGGCCTCTGAGAGCAGCTGTGCCTTTTTTCACACTCCCCAGCCAGGAGTTACCCAGGTCTAAAGTTCAGAGGCCAGGCCTCAGGACCAGCGTGGACTTTGGTGCATGAGGAAGCTCTCTTCTGATAAGGAAGGATATGAATTTAAAACACCACAGTGATTCCTTTTTTTTTTTTTTTTTTTTCTCCGCACAAGTGGCAGCAAGGCCTGATAATGTAGTCTGCTTCAGAAATGGATTCAGGTAAATGCTAAAAAGTTGGTTTCTCTGCTGATTTAACAGTTTCCTGAGCAAATCTGGGAGCCTTTCAGACACTGGTGAGAGAGATCTTGCTGCCTGCTCTTCCTCTGCACTAGTTGGTGTGGATACCATCTCCTCTGTACCAGCTGTGCCACTGGTGGTATACCTCCTGTGAGCAGAAGGAAGGGTCAGCTCAGTCAAAAACTATCCATGTGTTCTTTTCTCCTGGGTCAGGGCACTGGTGCTAAGTACACACACAGCGTATTTCATCAGGAGGAACTAAAATCAGCCTGGTGGAAGAGCCTTATCCCCTTGTGACAGTTTGTTGGCTCCATTCACCCCACGTGAAGGAGCGCTTGGCAGCAGCAGGGAGGTGGTGTGTGATAGTCACCGCCTAGACTGGGGCTATCGAAAGTTGTTGAGAAGGAAGTGCAGGTTTGGAGCCTGGCTGGATCTTCCTGCAGCAGCTGAAGTGAATATTAATGCTTACCAGCAAGGAGAGCAGTCCTGAGTGTTGCATCTCTGAGGACGGCTTGGAGCAGCTCACTGATCCAGGTGAGCAGCCTTAGTCTGGGAAATGGTACATGTGAACTGATTCCAGGAAAGTATTGATTCTCCAGCAGGGGGTTATGATAATTGTCATTAATGGATGGAATCATATGGAGAGCGAGCACATGATACAAAAGCATTTTTTGCTTTGTCATTCTGGCTGTGGCAGATTGCCCAGACTAGACAGGGAGAGGCCCCTGTCCTAACAACCTGCAGCCAGAAGGCTTTTAAGATCCTGCCAGAGGTTATGGGTTTGGGTATTGCTAAAGCTGTGAACCTTTAGCAGAGATCTACCTGAAGATAGTGGTGCTTATATAAATGCCTTTGTTGTCTAACTACTTGATTTTTATCTGATTTAAGATGTAGTTTTACATGAACATTCCTGAGACTGTTTAAACTTGTTGTAAGAATAAAATATAAGACTTCGGTTGCTTTAGGAAGCCACAGGACTGCAGCTTTGATAATGTATGGGGCAGAAAGCCCTCCTTTGTGCCTTTGTGCAGGCTGTGTCCGCTGTTCAAACCTGTGCTCTTGTTTTTCCCAAGTATGTGTGTATACACACGTGAACTCCCGGGTTCTTTCCTCAGGCTAAAATAGGCCAAGAGTTATCCATCACTAATATTACTATTAACTATTGCATAACAGCTGCTCTTTGTGGATCTCTGACTCCTTTGCCAACATCAGCCAGAGGACTTTTATCTCCAAGCTGCAGAGGACAACTGAGACAACAGTACTGTTCAGTTTTCAGGGACTGCGTTTGTGTGTATGTGTGTTTGGATGAATGCTTTTCAGATCTGTGGGCTCCCTGCCCAAAAGATGCATGCACACTCAGGATGGCTGTCTGTCCAGGTATGCACACGTGTCAGAGTTTGCTAATTAATGATGATTGCACCGTGCAACGTATGTGTGTGGTCAAGCACAAACAAGCGTGTTCTGACCCATTTCTTGGAACTTAGGCTCAATACCTCAAACCAGAGGTATGTGGAGAAAAGCAGAGCTGATAGTGGCTTCCAATCTTCCATCAGATTTCTTTTTCCATGTCAAATCAAATATCTTTTTCTTGCTTCTAATACATTTTACCCTTACCTAGTCATAAATCACATATGACCAGTGAGCAGGCACAGGTCTGTTCCATACTCTTGAAAACACTTATTTAGAAGATTTCAAGGTAGAAAAAATCTGGAGGAGGGAGCAGGGGGCTGCTAGAAAAAGACAAAAAACATATATTAAATTGAAGTTTCCAGAGGAACTAATTGAAAGAGCAGAATCAAAACATTTAATTCCTTTGTAAAGTGTATTAGATTGGGCAAAAAAAAAAGAAAAAAAAAAGAAAAAAGGGTAAAAAAAAAAGGGGGGGGGGGGAAGGTGGAACAACAGCATTAAAAAGTCACTTTCTGTGTGACAAAAGTAAAATCACCATTTTCCTTTTAGGCTGAAGTTTCAAGCTTAACCAGCACAGATCTTATTTCCTTGCTTTGTTTCAAGTGTATTCTTGGATTGGCAGAATGTCCTGGAATCCCAGCCAGCTGTCGTATAGGATTTTTGTTAAAAGACAAAAATATAGCAAGTCATCCTAACGTTGCAAATGACTCATCGATTGCCTTAGGGAACACTCCCCTGAGACGGCGGCTGCTGCTGACGAAGTGATGAAGCTGCAAAGGCCACTCCCCCGGCCATTTTCACTGCTCAGCCTACATAAGGGACGACCCTGCAGAAGCGACTTTGTTTTATCCTTTATTTCACAGAGAGCACGCAGAAGCTGTAAGGAGTGCAGTGCGAATTAACCACAGCCAGTTTTCTTTGTGGAAGAGAAGCAAATAGAAGGTCATGGGAAAACTTTAAAGGTAGGGGGATTCGCACTTTAAACTCTGTAGTTTAGTTTTGAGATTAGAACAGAAAGTCTACACTGATTTTATTTTTTTTATTATAGTTCTTGGGAGATGAAAGGAGGAGATCTGTTCTCAGTATGAGATCCCATTTCTGATTCCAGTAAGTTCCCTCTTTAAATGAGAACTGGTCAATCTAGTTTTTTTGGAGCAGGTTTCTGGGAGATAGTGTCAGAGGGGAGCATTGTAATCTATGAAGTGTGAGCTAAACTTCTGGTATGTTTTCATGAAGAACGAGTATGATGAACTGGTGAAAAACAAACCAAGCAATAAGGAACCACTGGTGGAATAAAGGCTGAAGCTTCTTAATGCACTTTTGAAAATACAAAGCATTTGTCCTTAAAGGAAGAAAAATAACATAATATAGTTAATGATCTAAGCAAATTCCGTGAGTAGGTATTGTGGTTTTGTTATACTCTGTGTTTGTATGCATCATAAAGATGCAGTTCTTGATACTTGAGTCTTATGACTGTGTGGGAGTTAAGTTTGAGACTGTCCTTAAGTGTCACTGAGCAGGCAAGGTGTGTTTTGGAAAAGAACAATGTGTTTTATTACTTTAACGTCCCTAAATATTAATAAAATGAAACTGCATATCATTATACAGTTTATACTTGTTTTTCAGTCTTTTTCTGATTGCGGTAGGAAATACAGCTGATTGCTGTGTGAGGAGAGAAAAAGAAAGGAGAACTGACTGCAGACTAGATTCAGTGGTGGGGTTATATTGGGGTAGCAGAGTGGGAAGTGAAGGGGAAGGAAGCCAAGGTATTTTTGGATGTCTTCACCACAGCAGATGTTTTCTAGGTTTTGTTTCTACTGTTAACATGCTACCTAGGGTTATGAAAGACTAATACAAATGTAACTTTCTACAGGCAGAAGTACAGTCTGAACTTCTGCTGGCATTTAATTGTAGCTGGGGGAAGTGATAGGTTTTTTTTTGTTGTTTTTGTTTTCCTACTGATATGGATATACTGGCAGTTATACTTAAAGGGGCTAATTTTACCCCAGAGGAAGGCAACTGTAGAATAGGTTGAGCACAAAGAGCTGCTTAATGCAAAACAAAATTAAGGTGAAAAGAGAAGGAAAACTTCTGTGTTCTCTCGTATTGTGTTTACCATGACTATTCTGGCAGTATTGAATGAAGTGCCCAAGTAGGCAGATAGAAACACTCTAATAATAGCAAACAGAAATATTAAGTGTCTATGTGTGGGCTTCTTCATTCACTTTTTTAGTCTTAAAAGTTTTATCATGATGTTAACTGAAATTCACTGATTTACATCAGTTGAGGAATCTGATGTTTGCTCACTCCAAATCTTATCTGCAGTTCGAGAAGCACTGAGAAACAGCCAGCAACTTCAAAGACCTGAAGGTTTGAAGTTGCGATTGAGTGGAGCTCACAAATTGAGTTCAAAGAATTGTTTTACATAGAGTATATAAAGATTAATGTAATATTCCTTGTGGCATACAGCTCTCAAAATGCTTTTTAGGACTTGGGTGGTTGCTTTTCTCTGGTACTAGTGTGTATCTGTTCCAAAAAAAATGAACCTCTTCACTTCAGTGATCACACTTGGTCTGTTTAACTCCAAAGTTAGCTATAAAGTTAAGTCAAAGAGCCATGTTACCAAAATGTAGTTTTCCGAAATTGTTTTCCTCATTCAGTTCTTTCTGTACATAGAGTTGGTAAGGATGATAACTGCAGTTTCTTACTGTGTTGCATATGGTTGTTCTATTTTCTTACTCATATATGTAGCAGAAGGGGGAAAACCCACTAATTAGAAAAGTCCAGGGCAGATGAAAAGAATGAAATAAGTTAATGAGATGCCTGTGTTAGCAGGTATGTACCTCATCCTGGAGTCTGCATTTGAGGAGGCGCTGTACTTGTGATGTGGAAAAGTAAGATCTGTAAGGAAACCTGGGTCTCCAGAGAACAAAGAAGTTCATAGCTCAGTCTAATAGTCGTATTGAGATATCCAAGGATGGGTTAAGATGACAAAATTTTACAAAGCTAATTAAAAGCAGAGCTGAGAAAATCCAAATGCACTTGCATTTCCTTATCACAGTATTTGCTGCTGAAAATACTTGTTTTTGAACACCATTGGTAATTTTTTGGTGTTCCCTAATCCTTTTTATTTTCACTGTTCAGACCCGTAAAGAAGACAAGCCTCAGGAACTGCCAGAAATGAATGGGAATACAGAAGTGCCCCATTCCTATGACTATGACCTCATTGTCATCGGTGGAGGCTCAGGCGGTCTGGCTGCTGCCAAGGTATGAGAGAGAAAATACAGATTTATGCTTTCCTTGGGTGACATCCTCAGCAACTTGTTTCTGGATATGTTTTAACACTGTAAGGGCACAACATTTCTGTCTGTTCAGCCAGACTTCTGTTGAATTTAGTTCTAGGTTAAAGATCCTCATATCTTACCCATATTCATATGTATTATGTATGTCATACAGTGATCTACTATGGTCAAGAAGGCCAATGGCATATAAGGGTGCATCAAGGAGTATGGCCAGCATGTTGAGAGGGGTGATCCTCTTCCTCTATTCTGCCCTGCTGAGGCCAGAATATTGAGAATTGTGTGTCCAGTTCTGGGCTCCTCAGCTCAAAAATGATAGGGATCTTTGAGAAAGAGTCAAGTGGTAGCCCACAATGGTGAGCAGGGGTTTGGAGCATCTTCCATAGAAGTCCATAGAGAAGACTGACAGGATCTCATCACTGTTTATCTAAAGCATGGGAGTCAAGTCAAGGGATGGGCTCTTCTTGATTGCATGCAGCAATAGAACAAGGGACAAAAACTGGAAGATAGGAAGTTCCATACAAATAAAAGGATGAACTTTACTGTGAGAGTGATGGAACACTGGAACAGGCTGCCCAGAGAGGTTGTGGTGTCTCCTCTCAGACATGCAAGACCTTTCTGGGCACTGTCCTGTGTGACCTACTGTAAGGAACCTGCTTTAGCAGGGCCTTGGACTCAACAATTTTCTAGAGTTTCCTTCCAATCCCTACAGTTCTGTAATTTTTGTAATACAGACTGCTTTTCCGTATGCTTTGAAGCAGAAAAACACAAAAACATTATGGTATAGCTTTCAATAGGGTGCAGCTTGGTTCCTTGTATCCCCATTAATGAGAGAGAATGATTTTAGAAAATAGGAGGTAGATAACTTTACAATGAGAAAGTGCGTAGCTGAATGGTGGGTTGTAACATGCAGTGAGTGTCCATAATTTATTTTGGTAGTTTGCTACTCCCTCATCAATAGGATCACTGTTGTCATGGCTGAGGATGAAAGATAAATTCTGTGAAAATTCTGAGAACCTGGAAAGAAAAGTGGAAAGTAGATTTTAGGGGACAGGAATGTTCAGGACAAAATAGTAAGAAGAGTAAAGGAGAACTTGGAGTAATACAAAACAGACTTGGAGTAATGAAATGCTATCTGTTGAAATTTCCATAAGGAAGCTGCTTTGTTTTGCTGTATGCATATTCTAGCTACTAGCTATTCTAGCGAAGCTGTAGCTATGATGTTTATTGCATCATTTCTCAGCTGTGGGGCTGAAAGTGTGTGTCTAGAAAGATGAATCGCCTTGTTCCTTCAATTCAAGGGAGTAGGGAAAAGGTAGGAAGATGGGCTTAGATAAGGAAAAAAACAACAGGCCACAAGCTAAGAAAAATCTAATTTACTAAAAATGATAATGGAATGTGAGATAATACAGTGTAATACAATATGATTGGAATTGAAGCTAATAAATAAATGAGAGAGCGAGTGCCTGAAAACCAAAGGTCTTACTTTAATGCTGCAGGCGAGATGGTCAGGGAGCACACACAGCCAAAGTGGGCAAAAGAGGAACAATCTTGTGACTCCCAGTCAGTTTTATCTTTCCCTCTGAATGGGAAACTGAGTAATGTAGTCTTCTGGAAGCTGTAGTTTACTCTTCTCTTCTGAGAACCATGTACCCGGAACTATCGACAATCCACAGAACCGCAGCCTTAACTCTTCAACTCCCAGTTTGCTACATGATATAGATATAGAACATGGATAACAAACCACAAACTATGACAGAATGTCTTCCTTTTTCTGTCCAAATGGTGCTCGATGTTTGGTATTTTGGAGGCTTGTCTCCACAGTGAGTGCAAATGCTGCCAGTCTGACTGAGCAGACCTAGACCAAAACTGCCAGGCCACCACTACCAGTTCACTGATAGTGAACTGTTGTTGTGGTCATAGAATGACAGAATTACAGAATGGTCTGGGTTGGAAGGGGCCTCAATGATCATGAATCTCTAACCTCCCTGCCACAGGCAGAGCCACCAACCTCCTCATTTAATACTGGATCAGATTGCCCAGTGCCCCATCCAATCTGGCTGTGAAGGTCATGCAGCACGAAATCTACTAAGGCCTGAAAGCCCACAGGGCAGGTTTTGTTACTGTGGGCACATCACTGTGCAGAACTGGTTATATCTGCTTGTGACCTCTGCTCAGATGGCAATATGGGGCTGTGATGTATAATGTTAACAGACAGCTGAGCTTGGGAATCTGTGCATTCTGGTTAGTCAGCTGACACTAGTAATGTTCTTTCAAATTGTGTATAAGAGCTGTCATTAGAAGGAAGCAGTAATAACACATCTCAGTCCTTAATGTTTTTCAAAGGAACTTTCTCAAAGCGCTGCTAGTGTGTAGAAACTAGCCTCTTGGCCAACCTTGATCTTTAATAGGAAGCAAAAATCCAGTACATTAATGTTTTCCTAAGTCGTCTAAACCTATGTTCTTTGAAATATGTTTTGTATTTTGCATGGAATAAGATACATTTAAAATTTTAATTTTGATTGTCAACTGTTTGGATTAACAAGTATTACCAGTAGCATAATGCTGAAGGCTGTTCAGACTCCTCCTAAACCAAACCCAGAGCCCTAGGGTAATACTCTGTGCCTACAACTGCTATTATGAGTCTGAGAGTTCATCATGTGATGCAGCGCTGTTGTGGTTACTCAACGTATCAAAGCTGTTTTGCTGCATCTCATGGGAGAATCTGTTGTGTCTCAGCTCCGTAGCACTTAATAAGTGTTCTTCTCTGCCTCCAGTTATTTCCAGTGATTTTTGCCTTCCCCTTAGAAAACACAAAGGGAACAATGTAGTCAGTACAGAAATTCCAGTTTTCAGTATCATGCACACACGTTGCCTGTTGACTCGCTAATTAAATTTCTCAGGGGAATTATCATAAATCAAATCATTGCTTTTCTAGAATGGATGACACTTGCACATCCTGACGGTCAAGTCAGTTTACCACGTTGTCTAGTCTGAAGACTGTACTCAAAATTGAGTTCTCCTTTCTACCACCAAGAAAAAGACTGGATAAGCACAGCGGTAACGCTTCGCCACATGACTGCTTGTGTCATTGTGTGATGTGGTTTCAAATAAATATTTGAGGAACCATCTATGAAGGGAAGACAGAATTAATGAACAATTTGTTAAATATATTAAAAGTAAATGTCGTGTTGGGCAAAATTATAAACAAAATGACAGGATGAAGGACGGAAGAAGGGGTTTGACTCCCAGAGTCCTCTATCAACTGGTGCCATGCTCTTGTTTAGCAGGGCAAATGGCTGTTTTTTCCCTTCATCTTTTTTTTTTTTTTCTACTAACTGCACAGACTAATTCTGAAGATTAATGACTGCCTGGCCATTCCTTACAAATCATTCATTACTGCTTAATTAAAAGTCACAAAGCTTTTTAGCAATGCATGGTGTTATCATCTACTCCAAATTTAATCTCTAATATTTAGATATGTGTCTTATTTAACTTGTTTTGCAGGAGGCAGCCAAGTATGAAAAGAAAGTGATGGTCCTAGACTTTGTAACACCTACGCCTCTGGGAAATTCATGGGGTAAATGTTTATTAATTGTAAACTTTTTACAGTTTACTAAGAGAGTGATTGTCCTTTGGGGTCAACCATACCAATGTGTGAAAAACACATTCTGTTTCTTTCTCTCAGGTCTTGGAGGAACATGTGTAAATGTGGGCTGTATACCAAAAAAATTGATGCACCAGGCAGCTTTACTGGGACAAGCCTTGCAAGATTCACACAAATTTGGATGGGAGTTTACAGAAGAAGGTACAGAAGAAAAATGTTTTCTTTTTTTTATTTTAGTTTTATCATTTGTGCTGGAAATACTGAGGTTCTTCGCACAGTGAAGTGCTTGTTGCACTTAAGCACATGCTGACTTTAACGATGTGAGGCAACTTCAGAGAGTCTACATGTAAACTTAAGTGCACTTCGTAGCTTCTTGCCTTGCAGCGTTTGATCTGGTTTTAATATCTTCTCATCATGTCAGTGTTTGAGAAGAGTGCTGTGTGTATAAAAGCAGTAAAATACTACTCCATTTCTGAATGTAACACAGCATCTAAGAGATTACCCCAGATTGTTCTTCATTAGAAACAGGAACTTGCTAATAATTGCAAACAAGTTCTTCTCCATTTTTGCAACATCATAAACTGAATTTTACTTCGTATTAGCTCTAATATACATGATTATAAGATTGGGATTTAATTAGGGTTCATTTGTTGAACAGTGTACCTGCTTAGTATGTGTCACTGGGAAACTATTGATAAAGTGTGAAGTCCAAATGTTCTGTATTCCAAAGGCTGCAACTGCACTAATATGAGGGGGAAAATATCTCAGATGGTTGGCATAAAGAACATCACTCAGCTTTGTTTCTTTTAAAGATATCTGCTTCATGATGATTTCTTGTGTTGTCTGTACTAATATAGTTCCTTTGAATTTCATTTGAGTTACCCTGAAGTAAAATAGGAATAAGACAAAGGTAACTAGGTTGTGAAAAAAAGTCTGTCTGGGAATATAGGGCTGGCTACAAAAAAGAAGAGTTCACAGTCTGAAAGAGGAACATCTCTTGTTTTGTTTCCAGCAGTCAAACACAACTGGATGACTATGACAGAATCTGTTCAGAATTACATTGGCTCACTGAATTGGGGCTATCGGGTAGCTCTGAGAGAGAAGAAAGTCACATATGAGAATGCATATGGAGAATTTGTTGGGCCACACACAGTGAAGGTACTGCATAGCCATGCTTGCTGGGTCTTGTAGTGCTTTCGAAGAATAATTTTTTCCCTTGGTAGGACTGTAAAACGCTCAGTTTGGACACTTGCTTTGTTCTCAGGCAACGAATAAAAGAGGAGTTGAAAAACTGTACACAGCTGAGAGATTTCTCATTGCCACTGGTGAAAGGCCACGCTACCTGGGTATCCCTGGAGACAAGGAATACTGCATTAGCAGGTAAAAACACTGAAGAATATGAAGATAGTCACTGTGTGTAAATACTAAACTTCTAAGGGACAGTAGTGAAGCATAAACAGGACCGCTTGGTTGGTGTTTTTCCAATGTAACTTTTTTAGAGGAAAATAAGCAAGAAAATAGCTATAAACAGATGTTAAGGTGGTGAGAATGTTAGTGTCTGGTGGGCACCACTGAATTGTGGGTGGTTGGCTAGAATTGTTCAGTTTCCAGCTGATAATAGCAGTTACTGAAAATACCATAAATTGTGTGCATATTGTCACAAAATGAATTGATCAGCTGTGCCCCCATTACAGTTATATGTGCTTTTTCCTAATTCCTTAAGGTTTTGCAGTTCATGTACAGACATTTGTTCATAATAAAGAGCACAGCCTGTTTGGAGGATAACTCCCTGCTCACATATCAAGAAAAGAGGGAGTTCTGAGGCAGCTGATAGCTGAAGCTCAGATTGGATACTAGGAAATATTTCTTCTCAAGAAGAGTGGTGCTGCAGTGGCACAGGCTGCTCAGGGAGATGGAGAGTCACCGTCCCTGGGGGTGTTTCAGAGTTGTGTGGATGTGGCACTGAGAGATGCGGTCAGTGGGAATGGTAGGGATGAGTTGGTTGTTGGACTGTATGATCTTAGAGGTCTTTTCCATCCCTAATGATTCTATGATTCTATGATGTTATGAAGCTGGTTGAAACATATCTCTCATCATGCATTTTGGAAGTATTGAAACTTGACCCAATTTTTCCTCAGCTACCTAGGGGAGCGAATTTAACTTTTGCTAGAACCTGTTTCAAATGTCTAACGTGCTAAAGCCAAACAATTTTAGCACAATTTACTCACACAGACACACAAAAAGGATAGTTGAGAGAATTTACATACAGATGAAGTGTGTTTTCATACAGACTAATTTCTAAAAATTTCTCATTGTAAAAACACATGTTGGAGTTACAGGCTCCCACACCTTTAGCAGTGAAATAAATAAGTGGTAATTTTGTCAAACCAAAATATCATGTTGCCTGTTTCCCTTCTGCAAAGTAGTAGTGAAATTAAAGGTAATAGATTATGAAGCCTATAAAGTAGTGCTTTAAAATAACATTTTGAGGGTCGGTAACATCAGAATTAGAGACTATCAAACTGAAGCTGTCTGTACAGTCTTAACTGGATTCTTCAGGGGTTGTAAACTATGATGTAGCCTTTAATTATAGTCAAATTTATTCTCTTATGGCATTTGCAGAGATCACTTTGTTTAGCCTTTGCAGTTGTTGGCTGCAAAGGCTAAAGAGAGACATTTGTTAAGATGTAAATCTTTGGAGAATTTCATTACCAAACTCTGCCTGAGTCCCTGCTGAGCAAGCATGACACCTCCCTGAGTCTCTGCTTCCCTGGGCAGCCCTGGATTTGTAGTCTAACTCCAAAGTGTAGCAGAAGTGACGCATGTTGATGAAGTTGAAACAAATGGAAAACAGGCGAAGAAATGTTTTTCATAACTTTGTACTTATATCTCTATTTCTGTGGCTTGCATTAATTCTTATTGTCTATGTGTTTTAGTCACTGTGTATGATGCATTAGTGAAAGGAGAAATCTTCAAAGAAGTTAAGATACGTGTGTCTATGTGTTTAACCCCTTCCTTTTCCATTTAGCTACCAGGAACTAAAATATGTATGTTTGCAGCATAATATGTAAAGTGATTCAGTAAAAATATCCTTCATTTTTTAAGAAATTGTAATAGGTTTCTGCTTTAAAAAAGAAATAACAACAACACAGGATTTTTATGATGATTCGGAGTATTTCATGCTCTTCTTTTGCGTGTTTCTGAATAGAGCTTTTTAATTTGCCACGTACTGATCATATATTCTGAATTTCCAAAAATAATTTTTGTTTTGTTATTGTCAGATTATGAAAAGGATTAAGCCCTATTCTTATAAAATAATATAGACAAATGTAATGTGCAGTGTGTTCTCCTGTTTTTTCTAATAATTTTTTGTTGTTGTTGTTTCTCCCCTTTTCCAGTGATGATCTTTTCTCCCTGCCTTACTGTCCAGGGAAAACCCTGGTTGTTGGAGCTTCCTATGTTGCCTTGGAATGTGCAGGATTTCTTGTAGGTCTTGGATTAGATGTCACTGTAATGGTGAGATCCATTCTTCTAAGAGGATTTGACCAGGATATGGCAAACAAAATTGGTGAATATATGGAAGAGCATGGAATCAAATTTATTAGAGAATTTGTTCCAATCAAGGTAAGCTCAAAGTAGTATAAGACTACAATTGATTGCATTATACCTATTACAGTGTTTTAAGTTACACATATTTTATATAAATAAAGAAGTTGAATTTGCAATGTAGGATCAACTTTGATATACCACAGGTTATTTTTTAACTGTTTGAAATTGATTGAGTTCATGAATCTTGTATAATTTTAAAAGTACAATTTAGCTTAGTACTGGAATTGTCTGAGATTCCAGAATTTGTTGTTTTTATGAGAATTAGAGGGGTTAGTATATGTTATGTTAACAATGTTATGTCTGCTCATCTTGATCCTGCAAATGCTACATGTGCTTAAATTCCAGCAGCTCTCCTGAAGTCTGTGAGACTTCTTGCAGGCTGATACATGAGAAGAAACATATTCCTTGTAAGATCAGGGCTACTGCATCACAAATAATTATATTTTTTCATTGTCAATTCTCAAATTCTCAGCCAATGAATACGACTTACAATGCTCAGGATCAGTGGGCTATACAGAAAAGTCTGAAGTACCCATCTCTATCCTTTATGTGGCAGAGGCCTTAAATACATGCCTAATTTTCTTTGAATTCCATAGGGATACTCATGCAATTAGTTGTGTGTGTGTGTATATAGGCATATTCATACTGTAAAGTAGATTAGGTAAGCTCTGGAGCTTTTCTAATGTTAAATGGCCTTATCACAGGCTTCATGGGGTCCTAACTATGTTTTTCTTAATGCTTTTTCATGATGATTAGTGCTTAGTTATTATGAATTAGGAAGTAATGTATTAAGCAGTATTCTGCTTGGTGTTCAGCTAGTGTTTTACTGAGTTTAATGCTTAAGGAATGAAAGTATTACGTAGAGTGAAAACTGGTTTTGTTGTTTGTTTGTTTTTTAGTCCACACTTAACAAATTTTAGGAAATGCTCTTACCAGTTGCTGCTCTCTAGATTTGACTCATGGAGGGTCAAGGATGATTAGCTAGCTTTTAATTTTTTCAGGTTTAGTTTTTTGTAAAATATTTTGGGGGCAGGGGAAGGAAGAAGTTGGTGTTACAAGCAGAAGGTCATTTCAGGTAAATTACAATGGTCTCTTCCAGCCAGATGCACTCTGTGGAGTCCATTACTGTAGTCATAAAACAGTCTGTGTTAAATCCTGTTCCTTTACTACGTGTCTTTGATTTCTGTGTGAATAAAATATGTGGCCCTGTTTCTGGTTGAGTCACCTTAAGCTTAAATTGCCGAATATCTTTTTATCAGGTCGTCTCGTTTCTTTCAAACATTGTTTTTGAACTTATGCATGTTGTGCTTATTAAGATATCTTCCATGGGACATTTGAGGACAGCAAATTATTATTAATAATGCTACCTTTGAATAGGAACAGTTCAACAGAGAGATCCTTTAAAGTTGATAGGTAGCACAGAAGGTTTTTTAAATAAAAGAAAATAAAGGACGGGGGGGGAAGATCATAATCAGAAGTTTGCTTTTTCTGTCTGCAAATATTTAATATAAAATTGGAACTAGGGCCATTCCATTGTTAAAAAGTACTCTTTTTTTCCCCTTTGGTGCAAACACTAAACTTTTTTCAGAATAGTCATTAAGTGTTTTATACTTATACAACCAATCTACAGCGAGCCATAGAAAGCAACTGGGAGCCTTACTGTTCCTGAAAAGGTAAAGGAAGGGCTGTAGTTGAAGATGTGTGGTTCCTTCCTTATAGTTCACTGAACACTAAGTAGGGGAAAAGAGAACCCACATATATAGTTCCAAATTTAATTCACTGCTTGATTGATTATTTAGTTTGGAAGAAAGAGCCAGTGGCATCAGTCTTTCTTCTTTTTGTTTTTTTGAGATATAGGAGTTGCATATGTATAAACAGAAACATGTCCTTATTGTGTTCATTAAAATAGTAAATCCACAGAGATGAAACAAAATGTTTAAATACGTAAGTAACAATAAATCTAGAGAATGACGAAAATATCTTTAGAACATAGGTTTGAACTTTAGGTCATGGTTAAACGCTCACTTTCAGTCATAAGATATTGAAAACAAATATACATTTACTTACATATTTTGATTTGAAGCTAATCCTTGTATTTTTTATTTTATTTTTTCCCTAAATGTTATAGGTTGAACAGATTGAAGAAGGAACTCCTGGAAGACTGAAAGTTACAGCCAAGTCCACAAAAGATGACCAAGTCATTGAAGAGGAATACAATACTGTGAGTCCTGTCTAAATATGTAAAGAACTTGGAGTAACTTTCTATTTAATGCTAAGATTTCTGAGATCTTTATATCTGTATGTTAGTTTTATTAAAAAATAATCTTAATTATTACAATATGCTAGTTGCATACAGTCAGCATCTAGTTAATGTGAGAAAAGTCTAAGAATCCAGGAACATGAGTGCCTTCTGAATCACTTGCGTGCTTTTGAAACCTGTTTTTTAGCTCAGGCTTTGGAAGAGCTTGATAATGTGGAAACAGATGAAGGATTTCTTTCCCAGGGAAATACTTGTCATAAACTGTAGGTAATGATTTTCAATAGCTGTCACAGCAACTGAAGCATGCTCTTTTGGAGTTAACATAAAGCAGTTGTCCTTACAAGAGCTAAACAAACCGGTGTCATGTCTTCTGAAGATCTGTTGTTGATGTAGCATCTTCAGAAAAACAACTAATGCCCCATGGCAAGTCAGGCAAGGAATTTTAATACACACTTAAAGCAGCAAAATTATGGTGCAAACGTATTCAAGTGTGCTATTTTATGTTTGATGGAATGTTTCCATGACCTCTCTCACCACTCATCTTCTTAGGCCTTGATGCTAAAAGAAAAAAAGAATTGTAGACTTGTGATCAAATCATGTGAAAACACATGAACTATATAAAAATTAGGATTTGTCAGCTTGGGATTTTAGACTGCAAATACACTGTGCCAGTGACTTCATCTACTTACATACTGCATCAGTTCATTCCATAACAAGGATATGTGTCAGTGTCTCTGAGTGCTGATATTATGAGAAAGCTAAACAATAACAACAGTGTTGTTTCATAGATGTTTTATTATTTTTCCTGCTCTGTGGTACTGAAAGTTGGTTTGGTTTGTTTGTTTTTTTTTTTACTTTGCGAAGCAGTGCCTTCTTTTCTTTACTTCTGATTTCTTATTGTTACTATATCTTTCACTGAAATGCTGTCGCTCGTTATAAAAGCTCTGAGCTGTGTGTGATCTGAAGACTTACAGCTCTGAACATTTGGCCAGCTTGGTCATCTAAAAGAGTTGAAGCTGATCTTGGACTCCTACATCACAGTTCTGTTGTCATTTGATTAGCATTGTGTAGTTACCTGGCCAGCTGTCCAAGACTGCATAGCACACAGCATTTTTCTGTGCACTAGTAAACACTAGAATTTGGTTTGCTTGTTAAGGTAGCTAAGTTTGTTGGTCTGGTAAGAACTCAGAATGGACTGTAGCATTCTGAACAAATGTTCAGACAGGTAATATTCAATAAGTAGTATTCTTTGGCACAGACTTGTTTGAGAACCTGTGTAAGTGAATTATGCTTTTTGATAAAAACAACGATTTTACTGTCTTCATATTTGCCTAAGCATTTGAGTTACCTTCTTAAAGAACCCTTTCTTTGAAGAGCATCTTGATGTCACTTGCTTAGGTAGAAATATGATGTGACAATTCTGTATGAAAGTGCGAGGAAATAAAATAACACATTTGTTTAGAATGCTCTTTGTGCATTTCTCCAGGCTAAGGTATTTGGCTGTATTTAATCCCAAAGCTGAAATGTGTTATCAATAGGTTGCAATGCTGGAATGGCTTGTCTTGAGCTCAGTGAATGTACGATGAGTAACGAATGTATTCATATTCATGTTACTGAGCCTTAGCTGCTGATCTTTAGTATATAATGAAAATAATAGATAACAAAGATAATTTTAGGAAACCAGTAACGTGTGCATTTCTGTCTTGCAGGTGTTGCTAGCAATTGGAAGAGATGCGTGTACAAGAAAAATTGGTTTGGACAAAGTTGGAGTGAAAATCAATGAAAAGTAAGGAGAAACATCTATATCACAGACTGCTGAACTTGAATTATTGATTAGTGCAGTGACAGCAGTGTATCCATTTTCAAATGCTGTGAGGAAAAAATTGTTTCCCGTTTGCGTGCATTTGCATAGGAGACAATGTGGCAGATATCTGCATTTTCTATGTAGCTCTAAATGTTTTCTTTATTTTACTGAAATGTCCGTTCCTAAATGTTGAGTTCAGAGGTGTCTGTCGCATTCTGTCTGTGTTCACAAGCCAGTCTCTCAGTTTCTTCCAGTGACTGAGCTTCCTAAGATCTGCCACTTGTTTCATGTTCGTCACCTTATTTTTCTCTCTACTGCCTTTTGTGGTAGAGATATGTTTGTTCGTATGGACTTTTAATGGGGTGGATTTTGTGTAATGTACAATTTAATTAGAATGTTACTACATGTTTATTTTTTTAATATAAGGCCAAAGAAGCACTCTTAAACTCTCAACAAGAGCTAGTGATGTGTTTTAGCATTTGGAGAAGTTTATTCCCTGACTTATAGCAGCTGCCATCTCCTGCAGAGAATTTCAGGTTTAATGTAGTGAGATTGATGCACTGGGGAGTGGAGCTGTAGGTAGCATTTTCAATATTGGTAACTTTAAAACATCTTCTAGATGTGAGGGACTTAGGCTATGTTCCCTTTTAATGAAAAGATGCAGGACCACGAACTTGACTTGGTTGTCTGTGGGAGAGTAGTGCAGAGGGCAGATTATATATGAGTGCAGTGACTGATGTTGCTGAAGAGAAATGTTGCATTGCTCTAAAGTGAAAATTTTGGTCTACTAAAATTTGCTAGACCCATGCTGTCTTGGAGAGCAGTACACAACTTTATTAGACACTGGGACATTTATTACTAAGAGTGATGTAGTGACAAAGAGTCTTTTTCTAAGTAAAGTTGTTTTTAATATAAAAATCACAACTGGTCCTTCAGTCAACTGCGTGACTGTTTTTGTGCCTGATTGGTTTACCTGCTAGATGTGTTTCCTGCAGTGATTACTACACTATCTCATTAATGGAGTAGGAAACATAAATAATTTAAAACTTCCATTAGCCCAGTACATTTAATGCTAAAGAGCTTGCTGGCTGTCCCTTATATAGGGTGTATAACAACTTGACTTGTCTCTGCAAAGAATTCTGAAGTTTAAGTGTCTAGAAAATAATTTATCCACTGACCTGCAATTTCAGTGGAGAAATTCCTTTGCACTGTAGCTTGAGTGGGAAAATGTCTCTTCCTGTCATTCTTCAAGGTTGCCAGTACACAGTTCAGCTGGTAGTGGTGTGTGTGTGTTGAGGAAAGCAGTTATGTCTCACTGAAGAACTGATTCATAAGATGAATCACAACTTCCTGGGCTACCTCCTTATCCGGTGTGTACATTTCTGTAATTTTGATGGAGACCAAAATTTGCATAGTTTACCTTCTTGCCCACGATTATAGGATTGTGAATATGACTTCTTTCCCTCATATTTCAAAAATGTGCTTCTTTTTTAAAGCTAGAGGGCTCCACTCCTGCAATATTATTTACTACTAGAGTCTTCACAGCGGAATACTTACATCTTTTATTCTTGTTAATACAAACTGTAGAACGGGAAAAATACCTGTCGATGACATGGAGCAAACAAACGTGCCATATATTTATGCTATTGGAGATATACTGCAGGACAGGCTGGAACTCACACCAGTGGCAATCCAGGCAGGAAGACTGTTAGTTCGAAGGCTTTATGCTGGGTCAACCATTAAGGTAAGTAACCAATTGCTACAACACTTTGTCATTGCTCTACTTTTAAGTAGATGCGATGCTCTGAATTTTCAGTGTTATTTGCTCTAGTATTTTTTTTCCTTTTGTTTTCAGTGTCATACATAGTTCTGCTACAAATTGAGTATGAACATAAAGATCAAATCTGCCAATAAGTCAACACATGTTTATACCTGAGAAGCTGAGTCTGAAAAAAGTGTTTACATCTCATGTTAGTGCAATAGTATATTTCCATCAAGTTACGCTAGTCCAAGTAGGAGTAACGTGGGTCCTTATTTACGCCTTATATTTAATGTGTAAGTAGGAGGAAAGGAGAATGCCTTTTAAGAAATGTTATTGAAGCACCATTTATGTGGGTGTTTGTCTCTCCATCATAACCATAGGTCATAAGCATAAAGGTTTTTCTCTTGTACGGTTTTCAGTAGTTATATCAGGTTCTGTTGTCAGCCAGATTTAGAGCTTGAGTGAGTTGTTTATTTGAGGTTGACAGGTAGCAGAGAAGCAGAATCCTGAATCATTGTGGCTAATGTTATTACATCAGTCAGTCAGTGTTTAAGAAAACTGTAGCTGGAGCCAGAATTTTCTCTTACTGTAATATTACACATACATCTTAATTTACATTTTATGCCAGATAACTATCTCACAGGGCATGAAAATCTTTGTGCTACTAAAGAAGACATCATCACTTTGAATTAATCCAATAAATGAGTAACTACTTAGGTGGAATCCTGGGTTAGAAGAAACTGTTAACATATCTAGTTCCAGCCCCCAGCTATGGGCATGGACACCTCCATCTAGGCCAGGTTGTTCAAAGCCCCATCCAGCCTGGCCTTGAATGCTTCCAGCAAGGGGGCATCTACAGCTCCTCTAGGCAACCTATTCCAGTGTCTCACCACCCTCACAACAAAGATTTTCTTACAGATATCTAGACTAAATCTACCCTTTTCCAGTTTAAAGCCATTTCCCTTGTCCTGTTGCTACATGCCCTTATAAAAAGTCCCTCCCCAGCTTTCCTGTAGGCCCTCTTCAGGTACTGGATGGCCACTGTAAGGTCCTTCCCGGAGCCTTCTCTTCTGTAGACTGAAGAGCTCCAGCTCTGTCAGCCTGTTCCTTTTGGGGAGGTGCTCTAGCACTCCGATTGTCTTCATGGCCCTCCTCTGGACCTGCTCCAGCAGGTCAAAGTCTTTGTGTTGGGGGCTCCAGAACTGGTCACAATACTCCAGGTGGGGTCTCATAAGAGCAGAATAGAAATGTAGAACCCCCTTCCTTGACCATGCTTCTCTTGATGCAAACCAGGGTACAGTTGGCCTTCTGGGCTGCAGGTGCACATTGCCAGCTCATGTTGAGTCTTTCATCAACTGACACTCCCAAATCCTTCTCGTCAGGGCTGTTCTCATGCCATTCTCCATCCAACCTGTATTTGTGCTTGAGATTGCCCCGACCCAGGTGCAGGACCTTGCACATGGATAGCTGGAGCTTTTTGTACCCTCTGTTAAGTATAGCTTTGGAGGCTTTATCAGTATGTATTAGTACTTGATGATAGAGAGTACAGAAGATGGAGCCAGACTCCTTTCAGTGGTATAAAGTGCAAGGACGAGAGGCAATAGGTGCAAACTGAAACACAGGAAAATTCCACTTACGTGTAAGAAAAAACTTTTTTTTGTTGTGGGGGTTGTCAGATCTAAGGAGTTTGCCCAGTGAGGCTGCAGAGTCTGGATACTTAGAGATATTCCAAAGCAAGTGGACAAAGTTGCAAGCTGTAGCTGGTTCTGCTCTGAGCAGGGATTTGAAGTAGGTCATTTCTGGAGGACCCTTGTAAGCTTAGCCACTCTGTGATTCTGTGTAAATGATAGAATTTGCAATATAAATTTGCAGTGATAGACCTAAAAATGCATACATCGGTAGGTGTCTATGCAAATATAGCATCTTTTTGTTCTCTGTGCATCGTGTTAAGCTGGGAGAACCATTCTGAACAGAAAACACTTTTAAGCTCCCATGAAGTTGGGGCTATTTGACTGATGGTATGTGGTGAGGCAAAGCTTTAGTTCTTGCTGTCTGTTCAAATGGTTGTAGTTCATGACTTTGATTCTGTGACATCTCCTAGGCTGTGACTGAAGAAAAAGATGATAGTTATTGGATGGTGGACGTCTTTGTATCATCATCTGTTAAAATTGTGTTTTGTGGAAGCAACTGAACAGTTTGCTTTTTCTTTCTAGTGTCATCTGTGATCTGATATGCTTTAAAGCAGGACACTTAATGTTCTCTTACTTCTTAATCTATGCATGTTAATGTCAGTATGGCTTTAAACAGATCATGGTCTGGTTAACATTTCTAAGTAGGGGACAGCACCAGACTTCTGAGTGGGGGACAGCATGATTTAACGTGATAATTAAAAGCAACTTTCAGGGAAGAATAATAATCCAAGTTTTCTTCCTGTCTTTCAAATTGCTGATTTTTTACCCAGAATGCTGTTTTTTATTACTAACATTGTATGTTTTTTATTTTATTCTGAATACCATACAGTGTGACTATGTGAATGTTCCCACCACAGTGTTCACTCCTTTAGAGTATGGAGCCTGTGGATATTCTGAAGAGAATGCAATACAGAAGTTTGGGGAAGAAAACATTGAGGTAAATGCCTTAGTTTCATTTGGATTTTAAGTTCCCAATTTGTAATTTGAAATAACGTTAAGGAGTTGATTCAAACAGCATTCTGTGTTCTGATGTAAGGGCAGAAGGAGGTATACTTCTGTCTTCCTTAGCAGTTCCTGAGGATGTTATAAAAGGTTCCCAGTTCAGATAGTTCTAGTTCCAAATATGTTTTGTCTTTGGCACATAGAGCTCATAGCTGGCATATTTGTCTTCAAAGGAAAAATAAAATTTTGCAAGTGCTTCAGGGTGAATCAAAGGTTACTATGAAGTTAGTGCCGAAAAAGATATTTTCTTGTCACGTTGGTTTTGACTTTATGTTCCCAGTGTTGTGACATCATTTTCCCTGCATGACTGCGTAAGCAGGTATTTTACTCACTTGAGTGATCCTTATTCATTCACTGGTATTGCTGTTGAATGAAATCAGGCACTTAGTGCATCAAGCTGTTCTTACAATATGCCATAGAGACCACATTGCAAAAAACTTAAGGAAAAGGAGTCAGACAATAATCTGAACTTTGTTTATGTCCTATGAAGATCACTTGAGGAGCATTATTTGGGGAAATAAGCATATGAGTGGTGTTCAACTTAAAGTGAGAGATATCAGGATTTTGGGGACAACTGTCTCAAAACACTTTTATTATTTTCTGAGATGTATCCTATCCACGTGGATGAGGAGCCTTATTTGCAATAAATCATCTGTCCAGTGATACTGGTTGGGGGGTACTGGGGAAGGACTGTCACCCTGAGTTCACGTTTTCCAAATTTCTGTGTACGTGGCTGACTGCTAATGAAGAGCTGCTAGTTAATGGTTCATCCACACATTGCATCTCAGTTGTTGAAAATTTTTACATGAGTGATTTCCAAAAGTGCTTTGCCCTCCAAAGTCTGCTGCAATGGCAGTCAGTAGTAAGGCGCTGCCATTGGTGGCAGACAGTGCAAACTTAAGCTAAACTGGCAGCTTTTGGAAGATCGTGCTGTCTGCTATGTAATTAGGGAACTTCTTTTTAATCTTTGTTGTATTTCCAGGTGTACCATAGTCATTTCTGGCCACTGGAATGGACTGTACCATCCAGAGACAACAATAAATGCTACGCAAAAATCATTTGCAATATTCAAGATAATGTAAGTGTATCTTTCCTTCCAAGGAAAGCAGAAATTGTTTGTTCATCATAGGGACTGTTAATACCACAGCTGTAAAGTCGTAATATTACTGTATTAGAAGTCGTATCAGTGACATCTTATTCTCCTTTCCTCAGACTGGGATTTGCTTTTATGGGAGATTCTTCTCTCTGAAATTGAGGTCACTCAGAATGCATCACATCTTGTGAACTCTGCAAATCCACATGTGTCTATAGAACACTTGAGATGCTTCCAACAGAATTATTGTATGTTGCCTGCACAAATATCATTTAAAGTGATACGCCGGGATTATTGTAGGACTAAAATAAAACTTTCTGGTTAAGGAAACAATCAATACCTGCTAAAACATAAACAAAATTCTGATTGCAATAATAATCTAATTTTATAAATATATTAGCTCTAATAAAGTTTTGTATCTATTTTACCTATTTTCTTTTATCAGCAGATACAAACTGATCTTTCTGGAGTTTTTTATGTCATAATTTTGTAAAGTCTGCAAACCTCTCTGGTTTTGCTCATCTCATTTTACTGGAGGAGTTTGTACTGGGGTGGATGCTATTTTAATACCAATGCTTATGTTCCTACTCTAAGTTACTTAAGAAAATAGAAAGACTTAATGGTGATTTAAAGTGTTTCATTAATTTGTTTCTGTTTCTTGTTCTGAAAAATGGAAATGTGCTTTAACATCTGGAGATAGAATTGAAAGTTATCCTGGATGAAATTTTTTTTCAGGAAATATTTGAATTTATAGTGGAAAACTAGTTATCTCCACTTAATTTTTGTGGTTTTATTTTTACATATATGTGTGTGTGTACATATATATATATATATATATATATATATTTTTTTTTTTTTTTTTAAAGGAAAAATGAGGATAATTCAAATTTTGTTATTCCCTAACTATAGCTTTTATTATTTGTATGAACCTTGATTGATACTCTGTCCTCAGGCTTACATGTAAGCCTTTCACTGTTCTGAGTATCCACACTCTCTCATATATGATACTTAGCCGGAGGAGCAGATAACTTCAGTTCCTAGCTGGGCTAGGTCAGTGCTCAGCAAAATCCAGTTAATGCCCTGAAATCACCAAATGCACAGCAGTTAGCTTTTGCTGGAGGAGACCTTCTTTAAGAAAAGCAAGTCAAGTCAGCACAGCTTGTTCCTTTGAAAGTTCAGTAAGAATATGTGCACAGTTTGGCATATTTTGCAGTTGAAGGGGAAGCAGATTCTTGATGTAATCTTTTCCTTTTCATAGAGAAGACAACATTTTTCCCACTAAGTCCCTTCTGTTGGAGATAATGATAGTTCGTGTTTGTGTGACTTCGTTGATTTGTGGTATCTTTTGTAAACTGATGAAATTAAGTACTCTGAGTAAGAAAACTTAGCAAAAATTCAGAAAAAGCAGATAACTCTGCTTGCATTTGATTGTCTTTGTTATTTAGGAGAGAGTCATTGGTTTCCATGTCCTCGGTCCAAACGCTGGAGAAGTCACGCAAGGCTTTGCGGCAGCTATGAAATGTGGATTGACCAAAGAACAGCTGGACAGCACCATAGGAATTCATCCAGTCTGTGCAGAGGTTTGTATATGAAGGCACCTTTGTATCCTAGTTTTGGTGATGTTCTGGAATAAGGTGTTAGAAACCTGAATATTAGAACTGAACTCAAGAAGCCAGAATTTAAGGAAGGTAGAAGGGAAGATGGGACAGGAAATGATCTGTTTCTAACATTTATAAACATAACATTTAGGTGTAATGTGACTTTTTTTTTTCTGTTTGTAAAATATTTATCGTCTCCCCTAAGCCAGTGCTCCCTCTGCTGGGGAGTAATGAATCTTCATCCCACTCATCTGTTTTTGAAGGCTTCAAATCCTGTTTCCACTGAGGTGGTTGTCAGACTTAATTTTTCTGGATATGTATACTGAAAATAGGCTCACAAACTGCTGTTGTGGAATGGGGGAACCAGCTACGTGGCAGTTTTTCTGTTCAGTTCTGTTCTTTTGAAGACCTCTGCTTTGCTTTGTAGCACTTCATTTTTGAAGTGAAGTACCCAAAGCCATGCAACCACTTCTTGTGTTTGTCTGGCTGTTTCTCTTCAATGAATAACTGATTTTTTTTCTGTTGGGTGGAGCACAGCTCCTCACACATGTAAATCAGTGATGTTGCATTGATTTTAGTAGATTTAGGACCTCTTATTTTAGTTGAGAATCTCAGGTAACTGCATATGACCTTTGTAGGTCATTGTACAGAATTCGGTTTTACTTGCATATTTTAGCTACAGAGTGTAAGAGAGGGCACTGAGGTACAAAAGAAGTCCAATTCTCTTGTTTTGTGATATAAGCAATACAATATGAGCACCTTTAATTCTGTCTGCAAGCAATCTGAATCATCTTCAAAGCATCTGCAGTACAGATTGTTTTTTTCGCCCGTGATATCATCTATTGGTGTTCTTGGAAGCCCTTGAAGAGAGGCAGTGCGTTCTTATCAGGGGCCTTGTAGAGGGGGAACTTTGAGAGAGGCATTCAAACCTGTGAACTTGAGTAGGATATTAGCATATGCAGTGTGAAGAGAAGATTATAGTTGTAATTTATTCTGGACATCTGAGCTGCTAAAACTGAAACTGAATAGAATGATGATTAGGTATAATTTAGGGAGGTAATTTCAGATAATCATATTTGTTTGAGTGGGGGAGGAAGAAATTGGCTTAGGAGAAATACACTATTTAAAAGCTCCAGGGAACAGTGATCATTTTTAGTGCCCATCTTCAGAAGGCTTTTTTATGCCTGTTACTTAATTTAATCTCTTATGCAGTAAACAGAAATCGAAGTGCAAGATGGAACTCTTTGATTAAGAAAAAAATGTTTGAAGTTTGTTTGGAATTTGTCAGAACTGTGCATATCTGACTGAAGGGGGTAACGGATAACAGCATTCTGTTTATCGTACATCTATAAAAAGGCTAAAGAAAATGAACTCTGATCTGAGCAGTAAAGGCACAGTGTTGCAGGATCAAATACTGACATCTTTGCTTGCATTAGTACTGTCTGCTCAAAGAGCCTCATGTGAAATACAGTATTACTCAGCTTGAAAAAGACTATTAGACTGCAGATTCCATTTCTCACTGTTTACAAATTAGAACCAGATTTCATTTCCCTTATTTGAGCAGCATTTTGTTCAGCAGAAAGCCCAATTCTGAATAAGATTTCTTGTAAGGCAAAGTACAAATAACTGCAAAGACAGATTGGTAAGTCCTCAGCCTTACAGAGTTACCTTCACCCTTCACTGTACTGCACAGCTTGAAATACAGGCATGTACTGAGCATCTGTGATGAAGAAAGTGTCTTCTGAAAACAGGGACAATTCTGTAAGTTTGCTAATGACTGTTTTCCAGTTACAGGATCTACAGAGTTGTCTTAACTTGCAATAAATGTCAAAAACTTACATTTCCAATGATTACTAAATGACTCCAAGCTGGCTTACTGAATCTGGGAAGCTGAGGGGTCCTTGCAGCCACTGGAGCTGGCTAGCAGACCCAGAGCTTGCACCTAAGCCAGAAACAAAATAGATCAATTGTGCGCTCTCTGTTTTTTGTCTTTCAAAATCAAGTAACAATAAAAGAAGGTACCTATACGTTGTCAGTCTGTAGATCAGAAGTAAGAGTTAGAAACCCCATCTCAAGCATGCACCATGGTTTAAATCTATTTCTGTTCTTTCGCCATATACATTAGACGTACATTTATCTTCCTGATTTATGCATAATGTTCTTATGCTTGTAGGAAGTGGAGGAGGTATATCATTTATTAATGTTTTCTGATGTGCTCTGGCAGCCTTAATGCACCAGAGCTTCTACTTGCAAGACTGTAGAGCTTTCTGATACCTGTTATCTTCAGATACTTCAGTGTTATTTGCATTAAAGAAATATGTATATTCTTTATTCTCTGCTAAGTTTATTCTTCCAGCGAGATGGCTTCGATGATAGGTAGTTATTGCAACTTTGAATCATTGAGATTGAAGTGGATCTTGTTTCCTTTTTTACCTTTCTCTACCACATCTATGCAAAACAATGCAATTGTTTGCATAGTAAAGTTCTAATCTTAAACAGTTTCGTAGAATGTTTCCTTTTCAATTTTGATGCCATTTCGTTTTTACAATAATTACTTTTGAACATGTTGTTTTCTTTAATGTGACTTGAAAGCACTAAAGATTTTACTTTATCAAACTAGATTTACAAGGTATTTCTTAGCTATTGTCCGGAGGGTACAAAACACAAACATAATACCTACATCAGCAATCAACTCCACACTTCTGTAATATTTGGAAAGATACAGAGGCAAAACTTACACTCTCTTCAAATGCTATAGCCTTAGGTTAGCTTTGATTTGCCAACAAAGAAGTCAGCTTTGGGAAATAAAGACACTTAGTCAGTAAGTGTAGAAACTGGAGAGTATTATTGCTGAGCCCTTTTCTACTGTGAAACTCAGCAGCAGCAAGACAAGGCGCTGTAAAGCAATGACACTTGCTTCACTGGCATAAGGCAAATGTGGAGAACAAAGGGTATTTGTATGTGTGTGCTGTTTACAGGCAAGGATTTTAAATGTACATCTTTCATTGTTATTTTATTACAAGAAATGGCTGTGGTTTTAAACATTATGCCTATGTTAATCTTCCAGAAGAGAAGATTCATTCTAGCCATACTAAATGTTGTCTTTTTTTCTTTCTATCAAGGTATTTACCACTCTGTCCATCACCAAGCGTTCTGGTGAAAGTACCCTTCAGTCTGGTTGCTGAGGTTAAAGACCCCCATTGCTGTTATTGCCAGAGACTGACTTTCATCGCTATGGCTGACTTGCACAACTCAGAAGAAAGATTTTGAAAGAAGTCATCATCAGATGACTGCAGAAACCTTTATGTTTCAGGCAGAGCACTCCACACTCCTGAGGAGAAGAACAAAATGGGAGTTAGCCACCAGTGGTGATTGACTGGCAATCAACAATGCAGTGGGCACATTGACAGTCCAGCTGATGTTTAGCAGGGCATTTTGCACATGCTTTCATGAAATCACAGCCTGAACCCTGCACTGTCTGGTGGGCAGTGATGGAAGAACTGCTGGCACAGCTGAACAACAACTTTATTTTTTTTCCTCTTTAGTTTGCTACTTGAACAAAGAACCATCCTAACTCAAGAATGTCACCGCAAGTTCAGACAACTGTGTTTGGAGTTATAACACTGCAATTGCAAATTCTCCTTACGGGCATGCATTTTTACCAATGACTGTTGCATGCCAACGTTGGGGATATTATCTGCATGTTTGGTTATGAGGAAGGAGGTATCACTGGAAAAAAAAGAAAAAAAAAAAGTGCTGTCTACAATAATGACTCGTTGCTTCCAAGTGGACTGCTATGACTGTTTATTTGAGAAATACTTGTTTCTGAAAATATTACTAATGAGAAAGAAAATAGTTTTTATTAAGGCCTTGCTATACAGAATTTTTTTTTTTCCTGATAGTAATAACCTTGCATATAACACAGAAGTGACCTCTGTAGCTTTATCTTGCGGTTTACAAGATTATAAATAGTCCAGTTTGAAACTGATTGAATTCCAATTTGGATTGAATTATATTTCAAGAGCACGACATAGCTTTATTCAGTTTGGATAAATTCTTCCTCTTCAGGTGTGCAGTGGTGTACCGCACGCTTTCAAATCTGATCTGGCCATTTGCACACAGTGATATTGAGGCTTCCTTCACATTGATGGGGTGATCAAAACCAAGCTGCCAAAAAAAAAGAAAAGAAAAGAAAAGCAAAAGCAAACCACCACCCACTCAATCTCTGAAAACTAATATAGTAGTGCAAATTCTTCTATATAGACAAGGCCTACAAGATGTATTTAGTTCTATGAATGTTTTGTAACGTATTTGATTAAGAAATCAATACTTTTGAAACAGGATTTCTTTAAAAAAAACGAGCAAGGTTACTTTCTTGAATGTTCCTCTTCTGCAGATAAACTGCATACATATTTATCAGAAAGAGGTAAAACCCTCTTTGTAATGGAAATGTCTGTGCTTTTTGATCTGGTTTTTCATTCCCTCTGTTTTAGCAGGAATGTTCAGTTCACTTTCATTACGTGGTTCTTGGGAGTTCATTGTGGTGTGAAAATGGGATGAATTCTTCATTCCTCCAGGCAGGACACCTTGTGCCTATGTTTCTACCCAGTAACAAACTCATGGTTTTCTTACTAGAATACTGTTTTAAGTTATTTTTATAAAGTCATAACTGAAGGATTTTAAAGTGAGTTTTGTATGGTATCAAAAGGACAGTTTGTGGTGTTCTTTTTCTGGCCAGTTTATTGAATAGATTGAATATTTGCACAAATAGGTTCTCATTTTGATGACTGCCAGGCAAAGAAAGCAGGTGATGGCAGGATAGCTTTTTTAATAGACCAGAAGAGGGCACCTTGATAAAGTTGTGATTTCTTTCAGCCTTTTGAATTCTGAAGGTAGATATTTATCTGAAAACAGGATATGTGGCTATTCCATGTGTGGAGTTTTTTTGTGAGCTAAATATATCAGAAGAACATAATTAAAAATAAGGAATAAATTGGGACCAACTCTACCAGTGTTTGCTGTGTGTATATAGCTTCTGAAAAAACAGAGGTCTGAGCTGTTCCACAATTTAGCTCTTCACTTTGAAGCACATGGATAGCATTTTTATACAAGTCTGTAAGAATGTCAGATCCTGGTGTTTAGGGAGTAAAGACATGTATGAGCATGACTTTGCAATACTGCACACACATGTATCTGTTCTTTGTCAAGAGTCATGGGGTAATGTGCGTTACTACGCAGTGACTGATTATTCAGAAAGTTTTTGTTAATACTTTTATTTTTAATTTAAATTTAAACTTGGAGGTTTTTAGCATGATTAAATAAAGGACTACAAGGCAATCCCGGCACAATGAGAAGTGCACTTCTGCCACGCAGTGTGACGCGAGGCAAACAAGGCAGTGATGTGCTCTTGGGTTTGACCAAATTGCTTGTTTTGCTGTGGGGCTCCTGTTCCATCGTATTCCTACAGATATGAGGTGGGATGAGGTGACTTGAGGTGTCTCCAAGCAAATTTTTCTTTTGGTGGCACTTTGAGGTCACTGTGTAATTGAAAGAAGATCCCAGAGAGAAAAACTATGCTGTAAGCAAAAGCTGTTAGGTGTTTTAGTGTAACCATTTCCTGCAAGGAGGTTTCTTGTCCCAACACCATCAGCATATCCCAAAATAAAAATACACAACTGGTAACTTCCCATCCAGGCAGGCTGAGACAGCGGTGTGCGCAAGGGCACTGCAGGTCAACACCTGGCTGGCAGATGGCTGCAGAGGAGCTCACTCTGTCCTTGTTTGCACTTTCTTTGGCTCTGCTGGCACAATTTCTCCTTTAGCTGTGCAGCTGCTAAAAATAACAGCCTTAAGCTAATAGCTTGTGTTTGTATTAAGCTGTTAAACTTGCACTGGTCATATTGAAACGGCTGCTTATTGCCCATTTAGAGCTGAAATGAGATTCTTCGAGGTTCCCTTTCAGTAGTTGAAGTCGGAAGGAGAGCATGTTGCATTTGTGCTGTCTGCAGAGGCCCTCAGGAGTACTCTGCATAACTCTTACTGCAGCACCAGGGAGGAAGCAAAGCAGCAGTGTGGCTAATGCCATTCATTGTTTGAAATGAATGTTTGAAGGAGCCTCACAGATGGGTACCAAACTATGTTTATTCCTCTGTAGAAGTTAAAAGAAAGCAATGGAAAATGTCTCTGAGCTCTGTGCTTGGGCAGCTCTTGGGCTCATTTCAGTGCCTTGGGCCAATTAAAGTGCAGTTGTTAGGGACAAGAGTTGGGAAGGAAGCTGGGAAATGTGTTGGGGTGCATGTGTAGCTTTCAACTTGGGAAGCTAATGAAGAACATGTGTCAGAGCAGGAGCAGGAGCCCTCCCTGTGCTGGGGGCACGTGTGCTGAGGCATCATTGGGGTGTGCTCTGAAGTGCCTTTGAAGGGAAAGTCATAGAAATCAAAGCAGCCTGAAAAGAGAACAGGTGGGGAAGTTGCCATAAAACACCTTAAAGTGGTGTCTCTGCTTTAGACATGCAGGCTCCAACAAACAAGACAGAAGAAAAAGCAATGCACTCAGGAAATGATATTTTCTTGTATTGGGAGGAACAGAAGTGACTTACATGTCTATCCTGCGGTGCCTTAAAAGTCACTGCTGGTACAGATTTACTTTAGCTTTTATCTGCTGCTCTCATTTCTCCCTTTGTTTCTTTGCAAGCTTTTTGCAGTGTCAGATTTGTCTTGGGGAATTCTCCTAAAGCATGTTTTCACCAGTCCCAAAACCACACAGCCTGTGGGAAAGGCAGACGAGCACCGTACAAGAGCTATGGGTAAAGAAGCTGTCAGGAAGCTGCTGGCTTCAACAAAAAACATGGAAGGTTGTGAAGATTTTTTTGTTAGTTTTTGGCATGACACAAACTAAGGAGAACTCACTACCACTAGGCACTGGGTGTGCCTAAAAGTATAACTATTGAAAAACATGAATTGTATGCAAGCAGGGTGAGGGGTTAATATATTGATGGCCCCTTGCTGTGCTTATGGCACAGGATGTCCTTAGACCAGTGAATGCAGAAAACCTGGAAAGGCAACAACCCCCAACCTCTCCTCCAAGCTCATGTTACTCAGGGAAGCAGTCATAGCAACGAGCTTGCTGGTGTTCAAGAAGTGACTGCATACCTCTCTCAGAGATATGGTCTGATTTTTAGGAAGTCTTGTGTGGATGATCCTTATGGGTCCCTTCCAATTCAGGATATTCTGTGGCCATATGAATATACAGGAATCATCCTTCTGTATACTCAATGTTTTCATAATCATTTTTCAATTTATTTTGTATTGTTATTTTTATACGTATGTGATTATAGGGCCCTTACTTTCTCATCTTGTTCTGAGAGATGGGACATCACATCCTGTCAGGGTCAGCGCTGGGGCGTTGCCTTTCAGCAGCCTTAACTGAGCCAACAGCATATCTTCTCAACAAGCAGCCTGAAGTAATAAGGGATGAACTTAAACTAATCCTGTGCAAATCATGTTAGAATTGAATTCAGTACCTTCCCAACATCTTTTGAATCGTTGAACAAATTGAAGTGGCATCTCTACAATGCCGAAATTTTGTACTTATTTGAAGTATACAATGAAATATTTTTGAGTGAAGCGTTTCAGTTTGCAAAGATTTCCTTTCCTCACAAGTAGTTAGCCCTGCAGCTTATGTGCAAGATAATTTGTTTCTGTCTTGGAGCCATGGTGACACAGCACACATGTTGCAGAGTGGGTTTGTACTGTTGCTAAAGAGCATTCTGTTTTCCTCCAGCCGTGCTGCACATTGATCTGATGGCGTTGGCGTGCAAAGATGGCATTATCCACTCAGACTGAGATCTTCCAGCCATGAGCATCTGTGCACAGCTGTGGGGAAGTCCTCGTGTGTCTGCTCTGGCTGCTACATCAACCACTGTGGACGCAGAGGGATTATAGTAATTGTCTCTGGAGGATGATTAGTGCTGGCAGCCACAAGCTCAGTTATCTTCTGCACTTGCTGCTGCCACACTTTATGGAGGAAGGGATGCTCCCCAGCTGGCCCTGCCTTATGGAATCACAGAACATCCCAAGTTGAATGGGACAACAAAGATCGTGGTGTCCAACACCTGGCTTCACGCAGCACCACCCAAAAGCTTAACCCTGTGTTTGAGACTGATATCCAAATGCACTCTAGAACTCTGGTATCTTGGGGCCCTGCCCACAGCCCTGGGCAGTCCGTTCCATGCCCACCACCCTCTGGTGCAGCAGCTGTCCCCAATCCCCAGCTGCCCTCCCCTGGCACAGCTCCATGCCGTTCCCTCGGGCCCTGTCGCTGTCACACAGAGCAGAGCTCAGCGCTGCCCTCCGCTCCCTGTGAGGAGCTGCAGCCGCCATCAGGCCTCCCCTCAGCTCCTCTGCTCTGTGCTGAGCACACCAGGGCTCTCAGCTGCTCCTCATGTGTCTTGACTTCCAGACCCTTCGCTATCTTTGCAGCCCTCTGGACGCTCTGTAATAATTTTATGTCCATATTATGTTGTGGGTACCCCAAACCCACCCAATGCTCTCAGGCGGTCTGGCTGCCCTGGTAATAGGACAGCTCCGGGTCAGGCAGTCACCAGCAGCTGCTGTGTCACTGCAGGAATTGGGTGCACGCTTCAGATATGTGGAGAACTGCAGTAAATTTCAGCAGCTTTTGCCCTCTTGATTTCCTCTTGTGCTTGCTAGTGAGCCTTAAATCACACAGACAGAATCATTTGGTAGCATTTGTCCCTTCTTGTGGTGGGTGGAAATGTAGAATTTTTGGCTTAGTGCTCAAGGGCATAGAGACAAAGAGACATATCTTGCCCTTGAAGATCTTTGTTGTTATGTTTTAAACAAAATCTAATTTGAACTTTGCATAGTGTAGACGTTTGGCACATTATTCACCTGATCTGCTCCTATTCTTTACCTCTCACATAAGCAATACCGTATGTCACAACAGTGTACCATGCAGAAATGCTCAAGCTCCTTCTAAGTTACCCTTACCTCCCAGCCTGGGCAGGATGCTCTGCTGGCTTGGCTGTACCATAGAGTCTGCTGAAACACAGGGCTCTCAAAGCTCACTTAAATACCTCTTTGTGGTACTTTGCTATGCTGATACATGATTTTTTTCAGAGCACAGGCAGAGCTGGAAGAGAGGAATGCTGTGGTGTGCT